GTTTAGGGTTTAGGGTTTTGGGGACTGGATCTTGAAGAGGGCTTGCAAGAGGCACGCTTGAAACTGTGCGTGAAGCTTGTTTTTGCGAGATCCGGGCGGCCTGGGATGTGAAGGTCTATGTTGGGCCTGGAGTTTTTTTTGGTTCTTAGTGTTGTGATTTTACCTGAGTGAGTGAAGCTTGTGCGCCAACTAAGGTGAATTTTGAGCTTACAAACCAAGGTGATCCTAAATGTATCATCACCTCAAGTCGTGGATTCGAAGCGCAATCCCAGTTGCTATTTCGCGGCTCAAGAGGGTTTCATTGTTTGACACCTTCCGAAGGAGAACCAGAACGATCAAAGGGTCAGAGCGCCCGAAACCTCCAAAGGAAAATGCTAAGCATTAAGCGTTAAGCCGTAAGACCTAAACAGTAAAAAATCCAACCCTGAACCTTCAACCCTAACCCTAAACCCTAAACCCTGAACCCTGAACCCTAAACCCTAAACCCTAAACCCTAAACCCTAAACCTTTTATCAAGGATTTCGGTCGTGCTCTCCACAGGTGGCCAAGAGCGGCAGCAGGCTGGTGAAAGGGGTGGGGAGCAGGGGGGAATGTAAGGATTGCGGTTCGAGAACAGGTTAGGGTTTAGGGTTTAGGGTTTAGGGGATTTAGGGTTCAGGGTTTGGGGGTCTAGGGCTTGGGGTTTAGGGCTTAGGGTTTCTTGTGCATGGAGGTACCCTCGTTCAGGCTGCTTTGACTTTAGCGTCCCACCTCCCGTGTTTGTGGACTCCGTTTGTAGTCCCGTTCAGCACGGGACCTTGGGGGTTGATCCGATTACATGCATTGCCTGCAAGGTTGCCTCCGCTCGTAGGTCTGCACTTCCGAGATGGGCGTCTTCTTTGCTTCCCTTGCCCCCCTCTCTCTCTCTCTCTCGGGATGAACTTCTGAAGCACAGGCTTGCTCGAGCTCCTGCCTGCAAGGTCTTTGCTTTTCTTAGAGCCGCTTCCGGACGCATGCTTCCGTTGAAACATCCCCCTCTGTCGGGCAGAAAAGGCACGATCTAAACCCTAAACCCTAAGCCCTAGGCCCTAAACCCTAAAGTAAGCACAGGAGCCGTCGCAGCCTCCGCTCCCCTGTGCGCTGCCTTCGCTTTGCTTCTTGCACCAAGGGACCAGGGAACTGCGTGTTCCTAAACCCCAAACCCTAAACCCCAAAAAACCCTGAACACTTAAACCGTGAAGCCCTAAGCCCTGAACCCTTAAACCCTAAAGTTTCCTAAAGCCTGAACCCTTAAACCCTAAAGCCCCAAAATCCAAATTTAGCAGATCCCGAGTCTCGGGGTTTACTTTAGAGTCGAGAGCAAGCAGGAACGGAGCGACTTCAGCTTTCCCCGTGGAGTTTCCGGAACCACAACTCGTAGACTTCTTGACTTTGTCACCCTGAGGGCTCTGGAACTAAACCACCTCAGCTGTACTGGGATTGCGCTCCTCCGCATGTTCTACGGCCTGCCGAATTATTGATGTTGATTTCGTCTTCTTTGTTCTGCTTGAAAAGATTCCCGCGGCCTCCAAAGAGGCACCCTGTCTTGCCCCCGAGTACCAGAAGCTTCGAGCCCGGACTTACACCCCACGACCTCAAACCCCATTCTATGCCTCCCTCACAATGCCTGGAACAAGAATGGCCCCTTTGTCGCCGAACTTCCTCAGAGCACCTTGGGGGCCAGCCAGTACGACGAAGAGGCCCATCCTTGATCTACCTAACATAGGGGCCCAAGTAATATCCATACTGTTTTGGTGTTGTTTTTAGAAGTAGTATAATGTACCCAAAACTATCGTTTGTGGCGGGCCTTTCATAGCATGCCCGGCGAACCGTGCTTCATCAGAAACCTTCAACTTAGAGCCTTAGACCCTAAGCCCTACAGCCATGACTTACAAACCGTTTAACCCTGAGCCCTAGGACTGCAAAACGCCCGAGCCCCGGGCACCAAAGCCCTGAATCTCAAACGATAGGCCGCAAAAATCCCGAAATCCCGAAAAAGCCCGGAACTCAAGTCACCCTACACCCGAAGCCCAATACCCTAAACCCTAAACCCGAACCTCACATTAAAAGAAGCCTCCGGAGCGCTCCAGGTTTGCCCTGCGACCAGCTGGTGCGACGGCGGCAAGCTCCGAAGGATCCCCCCTTTAGGTTGCGTTTTTTTTTTCGGGTTTGGGCATGTTTGGGAGGGTTTTGGGGAGATTTTGGTGAATTTTTCGGGTTTTTTTGGGAGATTTAGGGGTGTTGGGGGGTTTAGGGCTTGGAGGCTTTCGGATGTGGGGGTTTGGGGTTTGGAGATTTGTGAAAGTTTCGGAAAGTTTAGGGTTCCAGCCTGGAACTCCGATCGTAATAACCTTCGCCCCGGAGTCGCCACAAAGAATTATGGTTTGGTAGGGTTTAAGGTTTAGGGTTTAGGGTTTAGGGTTTAGGGTTTAGGGTTTAGGGTTTAGGGTTTAGGGTTTAGGGTTTAGGGTTTAGGGTATACTCCCAAACCCTCAAACCCTCAACTTTACAGCCCGAAGCCTTCTACACTCTACTGCGCACCAGCACTCCACTGCACTCCACTCATTCCATTTATTCCAAACTTTTTCTGGGGGACCCTAAACCCTAAACCCTAAACCCAGAGACAGGAGCCACTTCGGGGCCACGCCGTGCTGCTTCGGGGCGCCGCGGCGGCACTGCAGGCGGCCGCTGCAAGTCTCGCTGGTGAGGAGGCCAGGGTCTGAAGGTTTAGGGTTTAGGGTTTAGGAGTTTAGGGTTTAGGAGTTTAGGGTTTAGGGTTCAGGAGTTTAGGGTTTCAGGAGTTTAGGAATTTAGGGTTTTGGAGTTTAGGGTGGGGTTCGTGGGCGTTGTTTTGTGTCTTAAGGGGTTTTTGATGCTTGGGCTTGGGCCTTGAGAACGGGAACCCAGAGACTCCAATACCCTCTTAATTAAGGAATATACCCTAAATTATAGTAGGATCCCTAATATGATTTAAGGTACATTCCTTAAATAAGGGGTATCGGAGTCTCTGAGAAGTCTCGAAAGTCTCGCGCTTCGGAGAGGGCTCAGCTCCCGGAGTGCAAGCCCCCCAGATTTCAGAGGACGTCAGATGTCTGGGTTTAGGGTTGAGGGTTTAGGGTTTAGGTTTAGGGTTTAGGGTTGAGGGTTGAGGGTTTAGGGTTTAGGTTTAGGGTTTGGGGTTTAGGGTTTAGGGGGTTTCAGATTGGTGGGGGCTCAGGGTTTCGGGTCGAGGGTCTGCTTGCTTTCCAGTTTTAGCCAGACCCTAACTTTTAAGACCCACAGCCCCCCGCTCTAGGACCAGGATACGGCCCTGATGATAGAAACCCGGAGCTCGTTTGACAACACCCATTAATTACACAACTCTTATGGAAGGCATCGTGATACCCTGAACCGAAAAGTCCCGAACTAGAGCTCTCCTCTAGACTATCACAAAAACAACCCTAAACCCTAAACCCCAAAGCCTAAACCCTGTATTGGCGGACATCCAAAAGGCCCTCAAAAAAAACCTTAAACCCTGAACCCTAAATCTTAAACCCTAAACCTTATTATAAATCCTGAGCCCGATAAACCCCGGTACCGAAATTGAATCCCGGCTCTCAGTGTCCCCTTGCTGCAGGAGTTCCAGCCGGTGCTGAGCCAAACGCTGGTCGACCTGGGCAAAGGCAAGTTTTGTGAGTTTGGGGTTTGCGAGTTTGTGGTGTTTAGGGTTTAGGGTCTAGGGTTGAGGGTTTAGGGTCTAGGGTTTAGGGGGTTGAAGGGTTGAGGCGTTCAAGGGTTAAGGGTTTACGGTCTAGGGTATGGGGTTTGGGGTTGCAGGGTTTTGGGGCTTCAAGGTTGGTATGGATGTCATTAGACTGGGTCTTTACATGCCTGGCCGGTTTGGACTTTTGTGGGTTATTAGGGTGCTGACATTTGGGATCCGCTGGTCGTAAAGTCCAGGTTGGCCCCGAACTTCCATGAACGGGTTAAGGGTTTGGGATGTGCCTAAACCCTAAACCCTAGACCGTGGCGACTTAAAGGCTTAGGGTTCCGGGGCGTGCCGGGTCGTCAGGGTGCCGTGTCGTCGGTGTCAGGGTTGGGCACTGCAGCTGCAGGTGGCAGGCTGTGAGGATTCAGGAGTGTCAGCATGGAGGGTGCAAGGTTTGTATGGGTGTCCTTGAAGTAACATCGACAGCTTACATAGTTACTACTACTCTTCCTTATGGCTCTTCCTTCGACTTGCAGTATAATCTATCCCAAATGCCCATTCTAGTTAGTCACGCCTAAGCCCTAAACCCTAAACCCCTGAAGCCCTAAACCCTACACCCAGACCTAAACCCTACATTATCGGGCTCGCAGTCTGCGGGCTGAAGCCCTTTGGATGTCAGGGGTTTAGGGTTTAGGGTTT